AGTAAAATTTTATATTGTAGAAATTTATATTCAGGAAAAACCTATTATTTTTTTTGCATAAAGTTCCAATTTATATATTCTATTTGCCACATTTCTTAAGAATATTTAATCCTCACAAATATTCATATACTAGCAGATGAGACCGGCGTTGCTTGGCCAAATAGTAACGATAGCAAAAATTATGATTATTAGATTATAGCTGATCTTACCCATTTTTACCAGGTGCAAGAATTAGGTTCACCCTCTTCTGAGACTAATTAGAGAATTTTTAGATGGGTCTAAAAACATGTTTGATTTTTTGTAAAAAACTGCATTTAAAATAGTACAGTAAAATCCAAATTTAGGGTAATCCTTAACTCTCCCACTCTCCTCCATGGGGGAATTTCAGAAAGTCCTGTAGTGTACATTCTTTCTAATGACAACCCTAACTGTGTACCAAATGTCAACTTTCAACTCATGACCATTTGGGCTCTGCACTTATTAATATTATTATCAACCAATCTTGATTATATTATAAGATTTATTTACTAGCATATGAGTCTGGTGTTGCCCAGGCAAAAAATAACAACAGAGATCAAGATTATTAGATTATCTTTACTTCTAACCCTTCTATTATATTATATTATAGTATTTGATTTATATAACTACAAAGGTTATCTTATGTAAGGGTTTATCACACCAAGTGATCAATTTAACACATTTTAAAAATTCTTTAAATTGTGTACAGTAGATGAGTAAAGAATTTTTAAAATGTGTTAGATTGGTCACTTGGTGTGATAAACCCTTACTTAAGATAACCTTTGTAGTTATATAAATCAAATACTATAATATAACAAACATTAAAACAAAAACCATATACAGGTATACTTACGTCGTTTCAAGTTACATCATTCCTGATTATACGTCAAATTTGTCAAAAAAGTATATGGAAAAATAAAAATCAAGTTTAAGTCATTTTATTCAACTTTACATCTGTCCACCACAAACATTGAAGTCGTAATATCACTAGAAAAGCGTTTAAATCACATAAAATCATATTAAAATATATACATTTACAAGTATGTACTGTATTTACAGTACATGCATTCGTAAATTTAGATTACTTTTTTCTGTACTATATTAAAAACTAAAATTTATTTGTTTGTAAGCTTAAAATAGATCCTTATTTACCATATATTATTAAAAATGCATTAATAAATAAAATACAGAACCGGGAATGGTAATTTATCGTTTAGCCTAGTGACAAGTAAATTCGACTTACGTCGCCTCTTCTGGAACCAATTACAGACGTAAGGCGAGGTATATCTGTAGTTTGGTTATTTCAACCTACCATTGTCACAATTTATCACGATATTCAGATGATGCAAAATGGCACAATTTCTTTGGTCAAGTAGACACCAATTGAAAATATATTTAAAATTTATTAAGATATCATATCTTTTCCTAATGTTAACTCTAAGAAATTGTACCATTCACAACTGAAATTAAATGGAAATCTGCCAATGAATCAAATTTCCCAAAAAACAGACCAAATATTGCCCAAAAACTTGGCACCCTCAAAAACCACTTAAAACATATTTTGTGCATGCTGCTGATCTTGTATTATGTAATTTTCCTATTTGAATGCTACCACACTGCTAGTCCAATAGAAAGAAGGGACTTGTTGTGGAAGAGGGTTGAAGTAATTTGACCAAAAGTAGTCATTGATCTCCTCCCAGAAGAGAGGATGGTCAACGACTGCTGACTACTAATTAATGCTGGTTTGCTGTTAATATTCAAAAAGTGATCTGTGTTGGATAGGTTGTGACAGCCCCACACGTGATCAAAGTTGCTAACCTTAACATCCAAAAGACTTCATATGACTTGTTTAAATAAAAAAAATCTTGTAAAAATACGCAAATAATTGCTTTTATGTGATAATAAAGTGTTTATATTTTTGCAATAGATTGTATAAATTACATGGGAATTATGTTTTTGTAAATATTGCATTTATAGAAAAATTATTGGGCTGCAATATGAAAAAACTGTAGACCTATAAATTTCTACTGTTCTCCCCCTGACTGTCTATCATTCCTTAATCTCAAGATCAGAGTTAGATAAATGAAAATCAAGGATAGATATGGAATGCTTAGGGGCAGGAGGCCCAGATGAACTATATATGAGCTTCTGGTTTGGTCCAGAATTCATGTTACTTCAATTCAAAATTTTCCCCCCAAATGAAGTTAGATAGATAACTGGCACAACACTATTGCTAACAGGAAAAGTATGATGTACAGGGGGCAATACACCAGTAAAAGAATTGAGAACATTGTGACGTCACAATAAATAATCAATCATTAGAATTAGTTTGGTTTATTTGTTTAAGGCAACATGACACATGAACAATCTGCTTAGGGGGATATGTTCCAGGAAGACTATTATGGGAAATTGGATCCTATTTTGGTGTTACTAACATGAAGATAACCTGGAAAACTCCAGCCCATTGGCGATGTCCGAATCCACAACTAACTAATTAACTACCAGTGTTCGATGGTTTTATCCACTTGGCTACTGAAGGGCACTTATCAGAATTAAGAAAATATCATCCAGAAATGAAAAAACCCGAGTTGTTAGATGTGGAAAATTAAATACTTATAGACTTATCACAGAGAAACACTTTTGCTATGAAAAGAATGCTTCCTGAAGAAGCATTTCAGGAAGCATTCTTTTCTTGGCGTAAATGCTGAATTTGGTACATAGACTCAGGAGGGGATTACTTCAAAGGCAATAAAACAGACTAGCTTCTAGGTAAATGCAAACAACTTCTATTTGAAAAGTTTGCAAACTTTCTGGACAGACCTTGTACACAGTCTAATAAAACAAATAAAATCATACGTGTTTTTTAATAATTGTAATGAAAGTGCATGAACACAGACAGTATTAGACTGCAACTACCAAAAAGACAAAGAGACTTGACAATGTTGAGTCTCAAATCTTGAGACAAATTTTTGCAAAATATTGTGCAAAACTAGACCTGCAGATGCTTCTCTGGAACATAACTGCTTCCTATGCACACCCACAAAACCACAGACCCACCACTGACAACATTATTAGAAATAAAATCACCATGTTATATAAATACAATCTGTTAAGAAATTATAAGTGACCACCACATTTTTTTTAGTTTTCTCAAAACTAACAATGTTCAATGGTCAATTATTATTCTCAACAAGGTAAGTACAATAAATAATCAAGTTTTGAACAATTAGTTCAACAATCTTAACGCATTTTAGTTATTAGTGTTACAAAATTCAAATTTTCATTGTTAATAAATAATAAGACCACCACAAAAACAAAATATTGAGAAGTAACTTTTTTGTTGATTAATAGTTGATTGTTGCCCCATTTCTTCATAACACTTAAAATAGCCTGTTTGGCATTGATTCTACCAATTTTTTCAGTAGGTGGTTGTCAATAATATATCATTAGCGCATAATTTCACATTCAAGTTCTTGAATGTGAAATTACGATTGTTTACATATCTCTTCTGACTTAAAATCCCCCAAAAGTTTTCAAAAGGATTTAAGTCAGGACTTCTTGATGGCAAAGGTAAAACATTAATTTTCTTTGCCTTAAACTAGTCTTGAGTTGCCTTTGAGTTATGTTAGATGGCTTTGTCTTGTTGGTAGCACTATTTTCTTCCTCTAAAATATGATTAAATGGAAGCAAATGTTTTTCCTATAATACCTGATAATTTTCAGATTTTCATTTAATGCTAAATTTAGCATCATAACAGAATGATCCCCAAACCATGACAGAGCCTCCACCATTTGACTACTAAAAAATACCTTAGGTGCCTTGCACAAATCATGCCAATATGCAATATACCCATCTGGGCTGTCAAGATTAAACTTCTTTTCATCTGAAAACACTACATTGTTCCACTCTTTGGTGCAGGATATATACTTCTTGGCCCATTCTAATCTTACTTGTTTATGTGCCTGTCAATTTGGGTTTACCCTTTAGTTTTATGTAACTTGCATTCTGGTTTTTCCTTAATATTTTTCAAGCAATTACAAGTGAAAACTTTGGTCCAATTTCACACGAAATTTCTATTGTAGACATATTCTGTTGAGTTGCCATATCAAAAACATGCCTGAAATCATGTGAGGACAATGATTTTTTTTTTTTTTTACCAGATCTCTTGTTCTGTACATAATTTTCCCTTTATTTTTCTAAAACATGATGAATTGCTATTTTGGACCTATTAAGGAGATCAGCTAAGGCCCCTTCTGAGTAACCAACACCAACATAACAATAAAGTTTCCAGATTTTTCCTCCTTCCAATTTACTTCCTCCTGGCATGGTGTTTAACCACAACTACTTAAAAATAAACTTAAGAAAACCATTAAAATTAGTCATGTTACATCATAGAAAACTGATAATCATGTGGTAATAGAAATTTTTCCTAAGGTAAAGGATTAAATTATTTTCTCTTGGTGGTCTTATAATTTATTAACAGTGAAAATTTGACTTTTGTAAAACTAGTAACTAAAATATGTTAAGATTGTTGAACTAACTGTTCAAAACTTGATTATTTATTGTATTTACTTTGTTGAGAATAATAATTGACCATTAAACATTGTTATTTTTGAGAAAACTAAAAAAAATGTAGTGGTCTTATAATTTCTTAACAGATTATATATTTATTAAAATGCATTATTTGTTAATTAACAAATTTTGAAATGTTATACTGTATGTATAAATCACAAGAAATTAAATAAATATAGCTATAGTTATTACTTATTTTTTATCCGCATTTAATAATATGTTATCTTACATTAAATATTCAAATTACCTTCACTTAAATAACCTGTTCTTTTTCTAAATTTATTATGAGATTAGATAAAACATGACAGTATTGATGTAAAATTTGATATCATTTATCATCAGCTTTTTTTTATCATTTAAATCATAATAAATCATATTTTTATGTATTAAAATATTTTATTTAATTAAAGGATAAATATGGGATATCAGCAGTTGTATCACGCAAGAGAGCCGGATTAAGTACATCAAGTTTTTTATGGTAAATTAATTCATGGTTTAATCTGTGTTAGACTAATTATTAATAATTTTATTTTGTTTTATCAGTGTAAAATTTATAGATGATCAATACAAAACCTTTCTCACTTATTTCTAGCCATTTATACACAAATACCCATGTATACGAGTACACGGTACTCGTGTATAAACGGCTAGAAATAAGTGAGGAAGGTTTTGTATTGATCGTCTTAAAATAATTCTAGCTACAAATGCATAGAAGTAAAATTTTTAATTTTTAATTTTTATGTAATAAACGATTTTTTAAGATTTCTCTTTAATTATTATAAAGTTGAAATGATCAATTATGTGACAAAAAGTCAGCCTAATACATCTCTTACATTGGAATTTGATTAAAATAATAATAAATTGAAAGATTATAGCACAGATCAGCAGGTATGGTCATTGGCATACTAGGTGTCTGCCATACCAAAAAAACTTTGGATGGCACTTGGAACACCTGTATACTGACAAAATCTATATCAGTCAACTATAAAAGTCCACACTGCTAGGATCCACACATATACTATTCTGATAAATTACAATATCCTAGTTTGGTGATGGCAAACCCATAACTTGCATGACCATTTCAAGGTATCCACAATGAATGTTTAGTAAGTTTTTGATTTTTTATAAATTATGCAAAGTTTCAAAACCTATCAAATAGTTTTTTTTTTTTTATATATAGTGTGACAGCAAAGTCCTAAAGTAGCCATTAAAGGCCACTAATTATGAACTTTGGATAGAAAAATTATATCAATTAAACATTTCCCATTAAACAAAATATTCTTTTTAATTNTACAGCAATCAGTTGCATAATTTTCCTGACCAAACTCTAAAATTGTGTGTGATGCCATCTGTTATGAGGTTTTACTTAAAAAACATTTTATATTGTTAATTGTTAAAAAAATGGCGCAAAACTTAATTTTGATGGTAGAGATGAGTTTTATAAAAATAGCAAATGTTAATAACAAATAAAATTTTTAAGCCTTATCCCACTCAAGATATAACAAGTGATTCCACTCCCTTGATCTTTAACCACCAAAATTTAATAGCATCAATCTCCCTAAGACAAAAACATTGCTGCAAAGTTTAAGAAATTTTCAACAAAAAACACAGGAGTTATTAAGTTTCAAAGCAGGTAAACAAAATCTTGCTCCCCATACATACTAACATCCATATATACAGGAATAAAAACTCAAAATTTTTTTATATCTAAACACTTCAAGGTCCTGAGTCCAAAAAGATTTAAATCTTGGGGGTTATTTTTAAAAATAATTTTCAAACAACTGTATAAGTAATCAAAATTAACACTCACCAATAACAAAATGTATAAATTTTACTACAAACTAACATTTTTATCTTTATATAACTGACATCTTCAGGTTTAATTCCACAGAATAGTACATTAAGGTTAAATTAAACATTTAGAACTATTAGAATATTTTTAAAACAAGCAGAAAATTTTTAAGAATATGCAGAGAATTGCACATGCCTGGTATGGACTGGTAATTAATTTTTTGCAGTGTGGTCAGAATATACATTGGGCTATATGTCTCCTTTTGGAAGACCTTACTTGTCATTTGCCAGGAAATGTTCATAGGTAGAACTCTCTTGCCATACACTGTTATATGTTAGTGGGAAGTTTTGTCTCCACACTATATTCTGGCTACATTGCATGATCCATTTTCATATAAACTAGCTGCATTTAGAGCTTTAATGAAATGAGCCTATATGCATTATTCCACCCAAGCAGGTAAGAAGAAAGAATTAGCATAAATCAAGAAGTTAGCTAAGCAATATCTAGCTGAACAGCTGGTCCTACAACAACACCAGCATGGGGATTGATTACTACCCAAAAGTGGTTCTTATACAGGGTGTATCAGAATGATGTTTTAAAAATTTGGGGGATTATAGAGGATGAAATTTTGCACGTTTTGATATAAGAAACCCATAGCCGGAAATGTGATATAAAGTTTTTACAGCACTTTGCACTTTGCAGTCAGTATGCTGAATGAAACAGCAGAATACAGTATTTATTACAAGTTTTATTGACAAAACAATAGAGTACAATTAAACTGTATATCAAATCAATGGTTGCACTACTTTAGAGTAAATGTTCAATGTGACGACCACCTGCGTTCTGTCTATAGGGAGATCATCAAATGTAACAGCTTCAAAATCACATTCAAGAGAAGTGCTATGATTTTCTCACTTAGAAATAATAAGGATCTCAGACTGAGAAAACACCTCTCACGCATCTATACTATCCCGATTGACATTCAACAGCAACAACACAATATATAGGAGCTACTGTTAGAAGCCTCCATGCAAGGATTAGAGAACATGATACTTCCTTAAGAAGCATCTCACTAGTATAGCATTGCCTCTTATGCACTAGATAAAGAAGTGAAAATGAACCTAGACAACCAAACCTCCTACACTGAATGGCAGATCTACAGCAATTGAAACATAGAATTGAGATCTACAGTATCTTTAGATGAAAGGAACAACAGTTAACTTCAAGGAAACTGATTCAATCTCTACAGCTTGGAGAGCATTGTTTGAGATAAATTAACTACCAGTTCATACCAGACATGTGTAGTTCTCTGCATGTTCTTAAAAATGTTCTGCTTGTTTTAAAAGCATCCTAATAGTTCTAAATCTTTAATTTAACTTTACTGTACTATTCTGTGGAATTAAACTTGAAGATATCTAAGATGAAAATATTAGTTTGCAGTAAAATTTATACATTTTGTTGGATTTTGTTATTGGTGAGTGTTAATTTCACAGTCAGTTTTTTGATTGATTGTCATACTTTTCCTATGTTATATACCAAGTAGCTTCAAAAAGTTCTTATTATGCTGGGTTAGTAAATTAAAAGTGATGAAAAAGGGAACATGTAATGCATGTCTTAGTTAAACATCTCAGGAATAGAGAAATATGTTTAAACAAATACATACTCATTGCAAAGATGACAACAGTTACCATATAGTGAAGGTCGTGTTAGTGAGACGTTGTGAAACAGAGTCTGTCAAAAATGGCTGTGGAAGAACAACATGCAAATATCAAATTTTGTGTTATTGGGAAAAAATTCTCTGAGACTTTCAAGATGCTTCAGGATGCCTTGAATCTTCCATGAAGCATTGTCAAGTTTATGACTGGTAAAAATGCTTTCATGAGGGATGAGAGTGTATTGCTGTTGATTTGTGAAGTTGTTGTCCGTCGAGATCATCATTTGGGAAGAAATTGTCATTGTACACAAGATTGTGAGGTCAGACAGCCAGCAGTTAATTGAGCAGATCACCAAGACAACAGGAATTTTGGTTGGAAGTTGTCATTCCATCCTGCATGATCAATTGAACATGCACCGTGTTTGCTAACAAACAGTGCCATGAATGCTTACAGCAGAGCTCATTCAATTTCTACCTCTTCTCCCAGTTGAAAGATGCCATCAAGGGATGCCACTTCAAGAATGCAGATGAGGTTATACAGAGTGTGACATCTGCATTGTAGGCACTGTCGGAAGATTACTTCCAAGAATGTTTTCAGCAGCTATATCAACATTGACAAAAGTGTGTAGTTGCCGAAGGACAATACTTTGAAGGACATGTTGCTTGATTTGTCAATTATACTCATACTTTTGAGTAATAAACCAATTCTGGGAACTTTTTGAAGCTACCTTGTATAACAGCTTGAAAAATAATAAATTTATTCATTGATCTCATTGAACTCATACTAATTTATTGACTTCTCAGATAAATTGATTAACTCTTTGAGGATTGTAGTAAGAAAGTATTATGAGCTATGTTAGTTACTTTACTAAAGTTAACTTTAAACTGTCAAACATATTTTACACTTTTTTTTTTTTTACATAAAAAAAAATATATATGTTTTTTGATGGATTCATTCTGTCTTTAGTAATTGAAAGTTTGTAGGGTTCATCCTGTAAACAATAGAGGAGTTCAAAGCTTTAGCAATTTCCTTATGTGTTTTTTTTTTTTTTAATTGTGTATTGAAATATGATTTTCACAGAGCCCAGCTTCAGTCTGCACCTATGTCAAGGAAAACAGGAGTTAAATGTGCTCATTAAATATTCCAGCAGACACTTAGGATGTCTATATTAGGATGCTATCTTGCTTTTTATGTTATTTAGGCATAAGTATAAAAATTTTTGTAATTTTCNGTCTTTGTAAATGTAATATGATATATTTTATTTTTTTACCATGTTACATAATCCTTATACCTATTCACATTAATATCTTAAGAGTATTATTAAATTAATATCAAGTAAAGAAGAGATATAACTATTTTATTTTGTTTAATGCAAATATTTATTTAAAATTTTTTGAATATCTTTCTGTTTAATAAAAAAAAAAAGCAAGTTCTCATTAGTATCACTAAGAAATGCTTTAAGTTGCTTTGTTCTTTTATATTTATTAGATAATGCTAGTTGTTGTCAGAAATATTATTGTAACATCTGGCATATTTTCATAATTAACCAGTTATTTAGATTGGCGTTACTAGATAATATCAAAATATTACTTTATGAATTGATGCTTATATAATAATGTTTTTTACAAAGCTAAAACATTGTACTTGATTTATTATGGATACAGTATATGATATGATTTGATATAATATTTAATAATTATATCATTTATTAGTAATTCAAGGTTTTAAAATTTATTACATTAAAAATTAATCATATAATCATATTCAATTGATCATTTTCATTATAATTTTAACACTCTGATGAAAATTAATTAAATAGGCCTATTCTTCAGATATTGAAATTTGCTAAATTACTTTATACACTCATAAAATGTGTTTTATGTATTATACTTATATAAAACACTTATGTTGTATTATATATGCATTAACAAAAATAGTTACTAAGAAAGTGGTACTGAAGTTGAATGAAACTTTATTAGTGTGAATATAATTCTGATGGTAATAAGTGATTACAATAGCATAGCAAAGGAACATTTTCTATGGAACACTGATACAATTTGAAGGATTTTTTAATAACTTGTAGACTTTCTCTTGCCTGGACACACACAGTGTCACATTCAGACATGGAGACATAGATATCCTATGATATCTTGTGATAGATTTGACTACAGATGTTGTAGCTGCTGATTTAGATCCCTGACACTCATAGATGGCCAAAACTGGCATCCTATATGGTCCTACAAATACTCAAAGTTAAATGCAGGATTGAAGCACTCACCAGTGATCCTTCAAACTCTATAGCCTTCCTCAAACACTATCAGCTATCCAATGTCTTTAACTGCATTGTACAGGAATGACTAGAAACTTAAGGCTTCCAAACAGCAATTACATTGAAAATTCTGAACACAATATGTCTTTTCATAGGACATTGAAGTAGCAATTATAAGGCAGTCTGATGATGCATGGGTCAATTAAAAATTTTAAAAAGCAATTTAAGAAAAAGTAACACTACCATATATACAATAATTAATTGAAAAATTTAGTTTTGAGAGCAGTAAACTTGGCAATGCTGATAGAGTTTTGAAATGTTTTCCCAAGATCACTGTAAATAAAAATTTAAGACTTAACTATTTTTTGCAATATAGTATGACCAGCTTACATCATTACAAAATCCAATTCTTGCAAGTCAACTTTTTATTTTATACCTGGTGTTATATTAACACCTGTGTTTTATGTTATATTAAATAGATATAATTTAAGTATTTTTCTATACATATTAATATAAATTTATAATTATATTTAAATTCATAATAAATTTATATTACTCTTTAGTAATATAGATGATATAGATTTTTATAATTCATAAAAATGATTTTATTATTATGAAATTGTAAATTCTAAATCATTTACATATGTGATTTAAAAATATATTTTTTAATTCAGTGATTAAAAAATTTTAAGTTTGGTCAGTTAACAAACACTTTTAATATAAGTTCCACAATTCTAAAGTAATTTTATTATATAAAAAATATATAAGGTATCATTA